GAGGCAGACTCGGCAAAGCCGGAGAGCTCCAGGAGCATCGTCTTCATGCTGCCATGCGCTTCCTCCAAGAGGTTGCTGTTGTGCACCTTGATACGCTCCTCTGATACGTCGATCTTCTCGGCAAGCCAACCGGTCTCCGCACGGTTCGCTGCCACAGACCACTCGACCATCTTCTTCAAGTTCTCGTTGACCACATCCGAGGCTGCCTTCAAGTTTCGGAGGATGTTGCGGTCGCCGCGAAGGACTGCATCTCGAACGCAGTGGATGTCACAAAAGAGGCGCGCGAAGTTGGCCTGGCTGGCATGACAATCCTTAGCCTCTTCGGCCTCAACGGAATACTTCTTGGCTGCAAGAGTCAGTCCCCGTATGCCCGCACCGATTTTCTGCGCGTGCTCCAGGTCCACGAAGCCCCCCCTGTTAGGCTCTTCTGGAGGAACCTCCAACTCCCCCTTTTCGTACCTTACTGCGTTCCTCCTCTTCGGCGGCGGAGGCTTTAGCTTCTTCTTCACCGACTTCACGCCTTTCTGGATGCCTTTCTTCATCGCGCCAACCAAATTGGACATGGCATCGCAAATCTGGCCCAGTCGGAATATCGGGCCAACTCCAAACCCCGTGGCGGCCGTGTCGGGTATAGGGGCACAGGCCAGCTGAAGGCCCGCCATGCCTATCTCCGACCAGAGCTCGGTGTAGGATTCGTCCCTCTCCACTGATGCCTTTGCTACATCACGGACGACATCACGGTTGACGCAGTCGCTGAGCTCCTGGTAACTCAGCGGTGTGGGCACGGCGCCCTGCTTCTGGCCTTGTGAGCCGACCTCACCGTAAGTGCCCCCAACAGCACCTGCCACTGTACAGGGATTCGCTTCCATCGAGTCGGAGTCTGCAGAGTCGCCAATCTCCTCTGCCAGTAAATTCGTCGTGTGGGGCCGAGTCTGGCCATCAAGATCCTTGTAGGTCTCCTGTATAGACGTCCACAGCTCGCCATACTCCACGCACTCCTTGGCATAGGTCGGCTCCTCAATGGCGAAGCCCTGGAGCATGGGCGCCCTGGGAGCCTTGGGCCTCGGAGGAGGTCTTGGCGGCTTCCTCGATCCTCCTACGCCTCCTGCTCCTGGGATGCCGGGCTCGGCGCCCTCGCCAAAGGTGCCGTCGAAGTCCGAGACTGCCACCACATCGAAGCTCTGGCCCGCGAGGCCAATCGGCACCACGACGGCATCAAAGATGCAGTCGGAATCAAGGCACCACTCGCCTTTGCTCGCCTCGAAGAAGAGTTGTGGTGATGTCGATGTGGACCGCTCGTAGGTCATCCGACCCGATGCATCCCTCGAGTTCGGGCAGTACACGCCGTCTTGTACTGCACCAGAGGGAATGGGCTCCAAACCATCCTTCTCGATGCCCATGAGAAGACCACCGGACTTGCAGCAGCTGTAGCGAAAGCGCTGCCACTGACCACCTTTGGAGAATTCGTAGTGAAAACCCGTGAGAAGCGAAAGGTCGTCACAGAGGATCTGCAGCTTCCCGACCTCCTTCCACGAGGCAAAATCCACTTCCTCTTGCTGTGTCCACCCTTCACTGCACATTCCCAAGCCTGGGAATGTGCCGCACTGGTACAGCAAAGTGCCCGAGGAACCTCGCATGTCCAGCTTGGTTAGCGCCTGGCCGGGCGGACACTGCACTGGCCCTGCCGCGAGCTTTTGCTCCCAGCCAGTTGCTTTGGCGTAATTCACGTCTTCCCGCGTTGCTGCCGCCTGGGTGGCTGCAGGGCAGAAGTGGCATCTCTTGCTTGAGGCGGCCTTGCGAAACTCGATGTAGGCAGTTGGATGGACCTGTGGCCAGCGAGGGTTCCAAAGCGAGACACAAATACTAAACCTTGAGTACTGCCCCCCTATAGAGTAACAGTCTATGATAGGGCTATTATGAAGGGCCTAATATATCTATCATATGTTCACTCAAAACGGCGCTGCAGGCGAAAACGGTGTCCCATTTTTCAGCGTGCAGCGGCTAAAAGGCCCTTTGCCCGTTTGGGCTCTGGGGGTGGGTGGGTGGGTGGGTGGGCCTGCTAAGCTAAAGCTAAAGCGACTGTACAACCTACCTACCCTTGAGCCTACAGCGCGGTCCGTCAGAACCCTACGCACGCGGGCTGTACGAACGAGTTCATTCAAAACGGCGCTGCAGGCGAAAAAGGCGTCCCACTTTTTAGCGCGCAGCGGCTAAAAGGCTCTTTGCCCGTTTGGGCCCTCACCCCTCCCACGTGACTGGGCGCGAAACGCGCCACAGTTCAAGAGCTGGGCGCGGAACGCAGCCTCAGCAGGAGGGAGAGGGGCCGGGGGAAGCAAGCCAAGATTCCGGGCGCGAAACACGCCTCGGAAGAGCCCTGCGCAACGTGGATGGGATCAGCGAGGAGCCAAATTTGTTTCCGCCATTCGACGTGAAACGTCCTTGGTCTCCTCCCTCGAATCCTAAAGATACGTATGAAAACTATGAAAACTGTCCGAGGTCCATCTCCCATACCGTTTGACGATCGAAGAGTTTCCGCAAGCGGCCCAAAGGGCCGAAGCCCCGCCGAACCTGAGACTGTGCGCCCCGGGGTTCCCCCAGGTTCACCGAGGGCGGATGGTGATCGAAACCTCGTCCGCTCGGTCGATCTCCCCATACTTGCAGGGGACCCCTTTGCAAAAGTGATCGTGCTTCACGAATGACTCAGAATGAAGGGGTTGCCTGAGTGGAAGCGGGAGAGGTTGTCAACCAGAAAGGTTTGGTACGCGAGATTGAGGAGTCTTATGCAAAGGGGCCTGGAACCCATGTTTGGAAAGGTAACCGGGATACAACCCCGACCTCCTGCGTGACCTCCACCAGACCATCCAGGAGATCAGTCGTCGACAGGGTCGATCCAGCCGGAGGTTGTGCAGGAGAAGGCTGTTCAACAGGCCATGCGACAAAGGGATAGCAGGCTGTCAGATCTGCAGTCAGAGAATGCAGCGCTTCGGCCGCTTCTGATGAGTGTCATGGAAGCCAACACGCAAATGGCAGGAGCTGGAGATCTGCAAGGACCATCGACTCGTGAACCGGAACTTCCCCTGAGGGAGGACCGAAGGTCGGCGGCTTGTGGGTCATATTGCCTTTGAGAAGTTCATTCAATCCAGGGATCCATTTGGCAGAACGATCTTGTGGCTCTTGACCTCCCCCTAGTTCACTCCCTCGCCCACGACCTGGAAGAGGTAGTCCAGGAGGAGCCCGAACTTCGCCCGCACGTCCAACGTGGGGATCCGCTTGCCCAAGCTGCCCGAACCCTCTACCAGGACGGAAGCGCGGTTGCATTTCTGGAGTGGGTCTACGAGACAGGCCAAGTGGTAGGATCCATCATGGACAAGGCTGGCGAGTGGTGGAAAGGGACCTTGGAGCTGGCAATGGAGGCCTACCACCGGTTCCAGAATGAGACCCCGCTGAAAAGACTGTCATCCAGGCGGGCACCAACGAGCGCTTTGAGGGTGAGAAATGGTCGAGACTGGAACGGAGGGTGATGACCCTGTTACTTGCAACCATGCCGGCAGGGATCAAGGCAGAGATCATCATGCTGAGAGTTAGCAAGGTCAAGGAGTGCCTCTTCAAGTTGTACACCACCTTCGCACCGGGGGGCGCCAGTGAACGAGCGAGCGAGCCTCTTGAAACAACTCGAGGTGATACCTGGACAGCTGTCTGTGATCGACTTGATCGCGGCGCTTCGCCGCTGGAAGAAGCTTGCAGGCCGAGCGGCTGAGATGGGCGTTGCCTTGCCGGATGGCTCCGTCCTACTCATGGCTGTGGAGGGCTCGGTGAAGAGTGTTGTGGACAGCAACCGTGACATGGCCTTCAAGCTGAGCATGGCGAAGCAGGAGCTGCAGCTACCGTATCGCCCGACCATGGCGGCTGTGATGATGTACGTGGACCATGTGATGGCGGAGCTGCAGCAGATCATCCCCTACAATGCCAAGGATACAGCGTTGAAGTTGAAGGGTATGAACAAGGAACCCGGGACACCGAGCTTAAGTGGATCTCCGACCGGAAAAAGCAATGGGCAGAAGCAACCATGTAAGTTCTGGGCTACAGAAGAAGGATGCCACCGTGGATCGAGTTGCAAGTACGGGCACGCCTCCTTGTCGAAAGAGGATAAGAAAGCCCGGTGCTGGACTTGTGGTGCCACGACTCACAGGCAAGCGGAGTGCCCTACCAAAAGCAATGGAAAAAAAGGCAACAAGGGGATCAGCGAGAGGAGGGCCCCGGCTGAGGCTTCATCTGCTACCACCAACAACGCGGAACCCTGAGTCGCTAGCCGGCAGCCTCCTGCAGTTTCAACGGCGGCCATGGAGACCCCAGCGACCACAGCTACCTCAACATTGGAGCGTCCTGAGCCCCAGGCGAGCAACCTGTCGACATCCACGTCCAGGGGTCCCTGCTCAGCGGCTTCCACTGTTCTCTTTAATGAGGGCCAGACAAGAGAGATCAGGGAGTTGGCGGAGCAGTTCTCGTTCGAAGATCAAGAGGTTGGCCCCTATGCAGGCGAGCACAGATGGAGCAGTCATGGATCTTGAGCTGTTGCTCCGTTCCCAAGGCTTGGGTGAGAGTCACGGACTGGCCCTGTTGGACAGTGGGGCCTCGTATCGTGCCCCAAAGTATTTGGAGGAGGCTCGCTCTGCGAAGAAGGTCAAGGTCCAGTTGGCAGATGGAAGGTCGGTGTTGCTTCGTCAGAACAATGGAGGAACGCTGCTTGTTGAAGACGACTCGGGAGGCACAATCCTACCTCTTGGAAGCTTGGTGGCCCTGGGCTGTGAGCTCGAGTGGAGCCGCAAGCGTGGCCTCCAAGTGAACCACCCTGTTCACGGAGTCTTGCCTACAAAGTTGATAGGGGACACGCCGGTGCTGAGGGAAACGGAAGCGCTACAGTTGATCAACGACTTGGAAATGATGGAGCTCCAACGTCTCCGGGAGAACACGTTAGAGAGGGCTGTGAAGACGTTGTCCGTAAATGAGGAGCCACCGACCTGGCTTGATCACTTGGAGGAATTCATCATGACCGGTGAAAGTGCAAGCCTACGAAGGATGTTGTTGGAAGAGAATTCCCCAGTGAAGGCCAGTGACGAGGAAGAGCTGGTCAATCTGATTGGCATGGATGAGAAGGCTATCATCAGCGACAATGTGGGGGCCCACTACTTGAAGGGATTGCCTGTCAACCGTACGATGAGGAAGCGTCTCATGAGGACACGTTGGATTGTGCACCTTTATGGTGGAGACGAAGATGGGACGGATTTTGCCTACGCTCGACGTGCGCCGCTCCAAGGCGTATGACCTCAGGACGTATGGGCCGACGATGAGGGCGTTGACCTGGGCAGCGATGAGGGTCCAGATTGAAGGTGTTCTTGGAGCTCCCCCACGGAGTCTGGAACACAACAGCTTCCGGTACAAGCGGATGATGTTGCTGTGGCTGACAGCAAACAGTGGAGATGTGAGCAATGGCCTATGCGCTCTCTTTTTCCTATGGAAAGCCCCAGCTGGCACCCGGTGTGGACCAGTTACACCTGGCATCACTTCAAGAGCGAGCTGGGCTACATGAAGTACCACACGGTTGCCGACGGGAAGGATGCTTACTTCCTCGCTTCCACCCTGGAGATCTCAGAGGGCATCAACATCGAAGAAGGAAGGATCCGTAACCTGAAACAAGGAAGTCCGGCGCCCTGTTGGCCTGCGCATTTGAAGCGGAGCATTGCTCAAGCGATGATTGAGTGGAGGAGGAGAGACAGGCATCGCAGGCAACCTATGTTGCAACGGATTACCGCCCCTCGGGAGATGACGGAGAAGGACATTCGCTACTGGGAGCGGCATGTTCGGAACGGTCACGTTCCGTACGATCGACGCTGCAAGACATGCGTTTCCACAGCAGCAACGGGGCGGGCCCACCGCCGATGCCTTTCGCCATCGGCGTACTCCTTGTCCATCAATATAGCTGGACCAATGAGATGTAGAGGAGAGACAGATGAAGGCGGTTCAGATACAGGCTGGTTGGAGCGTACTCCCACCCGAAGCTCGAGTTGGCCAAGGATGCGGCAATCCCGGATGACTTTGACGAGGAGCAAGAGGACCTCGAGGGGGAGGTTGATCCTTTCCTGGAAGACCGAGACGGCGGTGATGAGGAGGAGATCGTGGAAGATGACGAGTACCAGAAGGAAATGAACAAGAGGTACCAGGAGATCTACCGCCATGTCCCTGACATCATTGAGTACCAAACTTTACAGTTTGCCGTCCCTCTGGTTACTAGAACCTCCCAGGAAGTGAGGGAAGCCATCCAAAGGATCTATCTGGAGCTACGTCAAGAAGGCCTACCCCTGGTCAGGATCCATAGTGACAGGGGCCTTGAGCTGAAGGCGAAGCAAACGAGGGAGTGGATGGCTGCCCATGACGTCATGTCGACAACGGGCGAAAGCCAGCAACCGCAGCAGAATGGAAGAGCTGAAGCCTTGGTCAAAAGAATGAAGCCTCGGGTGAAGACCTTGCTGAAGACAGCTAAGCTACCCATGACATGCTGGCCGCTGGCTATGGAGTTTGCAGCAAGGCGACAACGGGACTTGGCTTTGGGACGCTCGGAGGACAAGGAGCTTGTGTTTGGAGCCCCTACCCACATCAAGCACAAGCGTTTTGGTCAAGGGGGAAGGTATGACCTGCGCGAACGATGGAAGGAGGGGATCTTCGTCGGCTACTCCAATCAGGTCCGAAATGGAAGGGTGGTCAGGCATGTGGATGGGACCTACACTACATCAGTTCACATCAAGCCTTACTTGGTGGATGCGGATGAGCT